GGAAAGGGCAGGCACTTTCAAAAGCACTTGGCAGGTGATTGGATCAATCTGTCTATCACCTTCTATCATGGGCCACTTCTGATTGATTAACAATGGCTGGTACATGTGGAGCACAGCACTTCTGATTGGTTTGTGTGGATGACTGACACACAAGAAGAAAAAAAAAAAATTGTAAAAAAGAAAAAATTGTAAAAAAAAAAAAGTTAAAAAGAATCGCAGGCTTTGCGATTTGATAATTGCATCATCTCGAATCGCGATTTCAATTTAAAATCGATTAATCGTTCAGCCCTAGTTGTCAGTAGTGAGGGCAGGTCTGTTGGCGGTAACTATGTCACCTGCCGTCGAGAAAACCCTCTCGCTGGGGACTGAGACTGACTCGGATGTGATTGAGCATGTTTGACGTGTTACCACTAGCATACCGCACCGCTGTCGAACAACGCCGACACACCGTCCTCGTCCGATCCACAACTCGCACCCCATCATTGTTGTAGTCCACAGGGAACCCGAAATGTTCCCACGCACCTGATTTAAAAGAAGCAAGTGGGTCTTCTAGCTCCTGTGTGTTGTGTGAACTCGCCGTAGCAACTAACTTTTCTTCTTCATGTATTGTGTTCGTTTTGTTGTGTTTTGTTCTTGTTCTTCATTTGTTATTTACGGGCGGCTGGCTTTTAGGCGCAATACCGCCCCCTGGATTATATATAGTGTAATACTGCCCTGAGTGACAGACTTTTTTCCCACTCGTAAAAAAAGGCGCATTCGCCGTGTGACTGCAAGTGCCGAACCGTGACGTCCGGTCGGTTCGGAACGAATACGGATTAATGGGGGACCCTGATGTAAACAAGACGAAAGTCTTTCTCTGGTCTGCATCCCCTTAACAATTGTATGTTTTGAGCTGTACTGTACTGTACCCAATATACAAGCTGTGCATGTGCATGTGCGATTAGGGTATAGGTTTACCAGGCGAAAAATGTAATAGGCCGCTAACATTACTTTAAAACTATTATAGCTAGCCTATACGTTCTGCCCATACATGTTTTTTATACTGCATTAACAAGATACGTTGTAAAATGTCTCCGTGTTGACGTTGTGTTTCTATGGAGAGAGGGAGGCCACCCTAGTGGGCTTAAGAGCTACCCTCGGCTTCACGCTTCGCTGAAAATGATCGCCTAGTATAGCGCTTCCCTCAAAGTTCAAGTTACGTCAACTATGACCTTGTTACCGCTGACCTTTCGTCGTGCAACCAATTAGATGCCAGCTGTATGTAGCAGCGCAAGCTAGCATAGGAGGTAACCATAGAAACAAAACATACCTGGCTGTTTTCACCGTACGGCTCTGTCGCAGTAAGCAAAGAGCAACTTGTTTATCATGTGGATGCAGCTTAATGGTGTTGACCAAATAAGAAGAAGGCAAATACGTGTTGATTTTTCAGTGTTGATATTTAATTAAATTGTCCAAAAAAAGAATGCTCATGCTTAACTAAGCTAATTACAGCAGATAATGATAATAAAAACACGTCTGAGAGGGGTATCAGTCTTATCATCCAACAAGCAGGACACCTAATAAGCAGTTCCTTAGTTGTGTTTATTTTTACAAACAAGGCAAATGTAATACCACTAAAGTAATTTGACATTTAAGAAAACAAGTGAGTGAAAGTATTTAGGCTCTCTAATTTCCTCTCATGCTGCTGGGAGCTTTCCCCAGAGGAGCAATGCCTCCACGTATTGTTCCTCACAGATTACAGGAAAAATATATGATATGTGTGGTGGGGGAGGTAGAGGTGAATAAAGGGTCATCGGGTACAATTTCGAGCATGAAATGGTGTGTAGGGGAGATAGATTTATTGTAAAAGTGTTTGACTAAACAGTGTAAACTATAACTGGGGACAGGATCCAAGACAGTGAGAGGGCTATACAAATGTGAACGGGTTCTGCCTGGGAGTGACAGGATACAGGAACACAGATGTCACAAACTGAGGAAACCAGTCATGATTAATCGAGCCTGCACCTCTTATTTTCCAAAGCCGGGCGCTGAACAGAAATCACATTTAGCCTAGATCCAAAGCTAGCTGATTAGTTCAGTGCAGAGCTTGACTGATATTTATTTTTAAGTATCTAATATTATTAGTTCAGTGCTCAAAGCCAACACTAACAGATCTAATGTAGCTCAGCACTGTGGAAATAAAATGTGCAAACAGATTAAGCAAGAAATCAACAGCTTTTTATCGAATCAGTGTGAATCAAAGCAACCCTATGTCTTACAAATTATATATTTATACACAACTTAACTATATTTTCAATTATGTTTTGAGGGTAATGCATTTTCTCCGGTACCGGGGTACTGCCACAACATCTTGCAGGAAACAGTGTCTGAGGGCATGTTCATTTAATAAACTATGAATGTTTTATATCCATGTAACGGGAAGAAACTCATCTAACTGATCATTTTTTTTAATTAAAAGCCCACAATGCTAACGCTGAGCCTCTGAATTTTTGGACGGACACGATCATTTACAGTTTTTTACTATGTTCAATCTGAATTTTCTTTAAAATAAAAAACATCTATATTGATTCTGACTCTTCTACATCCAACTCACAGGTTTATCATTACTTTGAGGAAAAATATTATTAATGTAACCCTTTTAGAAGGGAAGATATGGTCATTTGTTCTGGGAATGTCATTTTCGAGCCTGAGACCTGAAAAACAGGCTCAGGGCTAAACTGGTAGGGGCTGAGTTATGCAAATTTCCAGGTTAATGTTTGTATGTAGTGTCTCTACTGTGACTGTCTACATGCTTTAATGCTCAAAAAGCTCTTTATCTTTATCATACTGTGCTACAGCAACCTAATCCTAAAGATATTTTTAGGCATCAGAATTAAATTGAAATGCCGTTTGAATGTACAATAATGTTATTTTCAGGAGATCAGGTTGGTGTAAGCAGAGACGTGCAAAGTACAGCAGAGCCCACAAAGGGTCCAATGTTCATTTGACCCACAATCTCTACAGCAAGTCAAGGATCGCAGACAACATACTGATCTTATCAGGAACAAGGCCAAACAGGAGTTATGTTCTGTGGGTTGTGCAAGGTATGTGGGTCACTGAAATCATATGAGTGAGATTCAACTGGGAGCATTATTGTTAATCCAAGGTGAAGTCTAGACATTTCCCCTCATTGATGTAAGACGCAAGCTTCAGAGATGGGCTCTGTCAATTTCCGTCAATTTCAGGACAATATGGGCGTAAGATTTTGATACTACTTTTGAGACTAAGGGTAATGTCAGCTCAATTGTACCGCCAGAAGAAAAGGAAAGTAGGTCAACAAAACATTTCAATTAATTCTGAGATCATAAATATCCCTGTTCTTTTAAACGCACCCAGAAGACCTGCAATATTGTGCCACAAAGTGTTTATCTAGACAAGAGGCCAGACAGCCATTGCTTTATTAGTGGAATTAATTACCAGCACAATTTATTTCTGCCTTGAATTTAGTGCAATTTTGACCATGGATTAAAGAGCGGGACAGATGGACCCCCACTTAGGGGGCAATACAAGGTAAAATTCTTAAGGCTTAAAAGCATTATAAGACATCCATTGCACGCACCTCACAAAATACTTCAATGTCACATAGACACATAAACATACTTGCAAACACACATGAATGAGGAAACACACCTACTTATCTTAAAAGCCTGTTTATGATCCAAACTCATAATTGTTTTATTGTTCCCAAACGGAGCCCCATCTGGCACCGTACTGCATTTCTTCTTAATGGCCAGGAAACTCCACCAAAATCATTGCACAACAAGCCTGGGCAAACATGTCAATATATTGTTGACGCATGTCTGAGAGCATAGTTTTACGTACAGCCACAAAGACAGCTAAGCACGTGACAATAACTGAAATTTGATTTCAAAATTCTGCATCTACAGCTCATGTCTGTTTGATTGTGTGAAGTCAGAAAATAAGTCAGGTATTTAATTTGATGCCTACTATTAAACATTCGTTCGCAGAACACACCTTTACATAACATTGGTGTGGTGCAATCTTTCCGCAGGCAGTCTAGTCAGCTAGTGCCTTCCCCACACAAAAAACACGTAAATTAGGTCTAAACATCATTATAATAAATAATGAGTACTGACCACATGCATAGCTGAGGTCCCACATTGAAAACACAGAAAAACATTTACGAGGCTGACTTGTTCTTATCCCTCTGCCTTTTTGATTGTATCTGTCACAGGTAGCATTTCGTTTCGAGCACTGAGCTCTGTTTGTTTGTCTAACACAAAGATACGTTTTATTGTGTTTCAGAATTTGATTAGAGTTCCAGATATATGAAAACCCGGCATTGTGACAGTATTTGCATTGACTTAATGCTACAGAAATGCAAATATTTTTGCCTTTATGATGTAGCATAGAGTGAGAGTTTCATTTGTGTCTGGCAGAGTTCATGCTGGGTTTCAGACTTACCAGAAACAAGAGAGTTTAACCTTATGATATTCATCAATGTATCACTACATACATTTTTTTTCATTCTGCTAAACCCATTTCTATTAATAGCAAGTGCTGCATACATGTAATGTTAAAGCTTGGCAGGAAATGTGCAAAGGTTGTATTTCTCCGAGTAGATTCCAGAGTAGAAACTGTGAAATTGGTTTAACAGACAGTTGGACCTCAGTGCAAGACTGCACAACTAAAATAAAGGTTTTCTCTCAACTTTAAACTAATATTTGTCTTTCTAAAAATAAGTGTTCACATGCAGAACTAACTACTCATTATATACAAGAGATAATCCTTATTTAAATGTTCAAAACTAAAGCTAAAAGGGAGAAAAGCCTGTCCTTGTGTTTGCAGATTTGACGCACGGCTGCAGGGACAATGTGTTCAAACTCTCGGGAGCTCTCAGCACCCTCCGCAGGCTGGCTGTCTGATTGGCTGAGCACTGGCCATGATGTCATCACTGCACGTTATAAGGGCTCGGACAAATAGCCTGGGAGACACATTAGAAGGAACACTCCTCAACTGAGGAACTGAGGCACTGAGTGAGACATACAGAGATTAAGAAAAACAGACAGTAAAATGAAGAACATGTGACAGGGAAGGAACTACCCGAACAGTGCCATTTTTACTTTGTATGGGAGGCAGGAAAGGAGACAACTACCTGTGGAGGTTTGTACTTTTGTTTTTGCTTGACTTGTTTATCCTGTTTGTTTAAGCAGGATGTAAATAATAATGTAATAACGGTGCTGTACTTTTTGTTCTCCTTTTTTTGTGGAAGTATAACCAAGACTGCAGAAAATGTGGCTTTTGTTTAGTGCTTGCTTTTTATATGTACCTTTTTTGTTGTTGTTATGCATAGTATTTCTATGAACAATTATTTGTTGTCTTGTGTTCTGATAAAGACACTTTTAGATACTGATTTTAATCTCTGTGTGTGTGTGTGTGTGTGTGTGTGTGTGTGTGTGTGTGTGTGTGTGTGTGTGTGTGTGTGTGTGTGTGTGTGTGTGTGTGTGTGTGTGTGTGTGTGTGTGTGTGTGTGTGTGTGTGGTCTCTTCAGATGGGTACCACCCTCCCAGTGTACCTCAATGTGAGTGTGGGACTGCTCAACTCGTCGTCAGACTCAGCTCAGAAAAAGGAGGGTTACAGTGAAGCCACCATGATCGTGCTGGGCATCATCATGTCCTTACTCGTCCTGTGCATTGTCTTTGGAAACATCCTGGTCATTACAGCCATCGCCCGCTTCCAGCGTCTCCAGAATGTCACCAACTGTTTCATCATATCCCTGGCCTGCGCTGACCTGGTCATGGGTCTCATTGTGGTTCCTTTCGGTGCCTGCAACATCATCTTTAAGACCTGGCACTTTGGTAGTTTCTGGTGCGATTTCTGGACTGCGACTGATGTTCTCTGTGTGACTGCAAGCATCGAGACCCTATGTGTCATAGCGATAGACCGTTATTTGGCAATCACCTCTCCATTCCATTACCAGTCGATGCTCACCAAGTGCAAGGCTCGCATTGTGGTTGTGCTGGTATGGGTGATTGCCGCCTTGATATCTTTTCTACCCATCCACATGAAGTGGTGGGCATCAGATGATAAGGAAGCTGAGGTATGCCATGAAAACATCAGCTGCTGCGAGTTCCACACCAACACGGCTTACGCTATCACCTCCTCAATCATCTCCTTCTACATCCCTTTGATCATCATGGTTTTTGTCTACAGCCGAGTTTTCCAGGTGGCCAGACGCCAACTGAAGAAGATTGACCAGAGCGTTGGACGTTTTCACAACAGCGACAACAGCAACCTCAATTCTTTAGAGGCCAACAACGGGCGTGGCAATAAGAAGGCCAAGTTTTGCCTGCGGGAACACAAAGCCCTAAAGACACTGGGCATTATTATGGGGATTTTCACTCTGTGCTGGCTGCCCTTCTTTCTGCTCAACGTGGTGGTGGCCATGTGGAAGGTGGAGGGCATTGAACTCACCTTCAGGATACTAAACTGGATAGGTTACGCAAACTCTGCCTTCAACCCGCTCATTTACTGCCGGAGTCCTGAGTTTAGGTACGCCTTCAAGGAAATCCTTTGCTTGAAGAGGAACCGCCTCAGCAACGCGGGGCCGGTGAACGGATACATCTACAGCAGGCACAGCTGGCAGAGCGAGCAGCAAGGGAGGAGCAAGGGCAGCCTGGAAGACAGTGACAATAATGAAGGCTCTCAGGGGAAGGGAGCAGGGGTCTGCAGCATTATGGACAGAGCAGTGGACCCCAACGGGAATCGCAACAATGGCCTATCGTCAAACTGACTGCTAGAGACTGCTCAACCAAAACTGTTATAACCAGCAGAGGAAAGTATTTATCTTATTTTTCAACCACTTTTACTTTTGTTACAATTCTCATGTTGAACTTCCATCTACCTCATCACATTTCTTTTACCATTTGTTTCATAACTAACTATTTAATATGACTGTCTCCCTGTCTGTGTACACTATGGCAGTATGTCAGCTGTACTCTGCTACATGGTGTGTACAGTATACAATTGCTGGTTATCTGGCTCAGATTTAATTTGTGGGCAAATCTTTTTGTCTCAGAGTTTTTGGCAAAAGATCCCACAATCTATTAGCGTAAAAATGTTTTTGGTATTCAAAGTAACTCATTCAGAGGCTGTAAATTCCATTAGGGCATGCCAATTTGGCATGAATAGCGAGTTATTTCCATTAGATGAGGAGCATGAAAGGATCAAACTTAATGCCTCTTTGGTACTTTGTTTGAAGAAATACATTCCAAATCATGCCTTGGCTTCGTTTCGTTTTTTTGTTTCTTGATGATTTGTCATAGTGTGAAAGATGATCATCAACAGGTGTGGCAGTCTCTCTCTTTCCGTCTCTCACTGCTCAGCAATGTGGCGAGGCTCTGCTCCCTGCTCTAGTGTTTTACAACCTGTTACATGCATGTTTCTGTTGCCAGCAGATAGCACCAGAAATATGAAGTTATCGACATCTAGCTGTGGCCATCCTGTGATAGGTCATATATTAAAACCTGCACATCTGGACAAGTTGTATCAACCAGATTCCATTATCTGCCCTACAGATATCTAATATCTTTAAAGGCAGAGCAGATGGCATTAATGTGGTTGATCTTGGGGTTTGACCTTTAAAGCTTGCAGCTGTTTTCTGAATACATTCAAATGCACACATTTGCTGCTACACAGCCTACAAGTCTTGCATTTAGTCTATTTATGTGACATTTAAGACGGTGTTTGGTACATAATATAGCAAATAAGGTCAACTATGTGAGCCTTTCTTCTCCCCTATATGTATACAGTCACTGTTTTTGTTGCAAAAGTCCTGTTTGTTTGTCAAAGTGTGGTTGCTGTGTCTCAGCACAGTGTTTACTGAAACCAGAGAGTCTGTTTCCTTAGTCATGGAACAAGTGTACAAACCCAACCAACAATAAACAAAAAGACAAGCGATAACAGAGTTCCAGGCACGAGACTGTGACATACTCAGACAGAAAGGAAGATGAGCACCTTTGTCACTGCTCCCTGACATTTGCCAGTCTACTCACTGTAAACGGATGTCTACATCTTTATAGAATCACTCTCACATTTGGAAAAGACACTTAGGAGTCCATTGAGCAGTGCCTCAGCTGCTCCAGTTGTTTCAGTCAGTCTACTCTAGACACTGCTCGGTGTGCTGTCTCCAGGAAATGCCTCCAATCCAGCTGAGCCCAGCCCAATAAACATGAATAAACCCATTATCTTCGCCGTTTAGCTCATCAGATAACTCGCTCCTAAGGATAACTGGAACGGATTAGTACATTGCAAAGTATACAATTCCCAATTTCATGATAAGATGTGATGAGATCCAAAGAGCAAACCTGAAATGACACTATCTTTCTATCACCGGTTTTAAGACTCTTGAGAATGTCTCATCTTAACGGCATGCATTAATGGGAAATAAAGGCTTTGGATTCAGGCGATTGAATTGGTCAATCCACAGACTTTCCCCATACTAATGATAGGTGTTGCAAGTGTAACCCCCTTTTCCCCAGTCAATGTGGGGATCTCTATGTTCTGATTCAAGTGACAGCATGCTAAATGTGGCTACTGTAGGCAGGAGGGGGAGCAGGGGTTCTCCGCCAGTCTAAATCGGTGTTAGTGACCTGTGTTTTAGTGCATGTAGCGTTAAGGTCAGCTGAATGTCAAAACTGTGAACTTTGTTCCCTCAGAGGTATCCATATGTACTGTATCGCTAGGTTTGGTCAGCACTGTTGTCACAGACCTTAAGATTAGACGTAAATACGGTGTCATCTTACGTCAATGTTTGCCATGTGAAAAACAAGCTTTCCAGTGTGTCAATCTCTTTTTCTGTTTTTCTTCTTCATGGATTTACAGCAAAGTAAATTCAGGGGTTGGATGTCATAACAAGCACTCTCCAGGGTTTTAACTCCATCACTTTTTAACTGTACGGGATGCACAAAACAAATATTCTAGACCAATGTTTTGAAAGTTTACTATTGTATTTATTCACTCACAATTAATTGATGCAATGACGCTGAAATGCTAAGTCACTGCTGGATTGAAAAAAGGTTCTGTATTTCAGACCTGTCATTTTTTAAAAGCACTTTGCAAGTGATCTTTTGCACGTCTGCTTTGTGTACTTGTGGTGTTATATTTGTGAACTATGGTGCCATTTCCTTTCAAAGTGATCTGTTTCAGTCCAAGTGAAGTTGGTATATATCCACACTGCTCCCTCCTGGCAGTGGCCTCTCCTTGCACCTCAGCTGTCTTACAGTTATACACGGTTACTGTTTCATCGATACTCCTGTTTAATGAGGAATGTAGTTCATGGCTTCACCCACTCATGCTGGAGGACACAATAGAGTTACCTGCACTGTGTTTTGAGTTATTATCCAACACTACAACATTCCAAGTATAGCTCAAGGTTTGTCTACTGATGCATACAATGAACAGTATGTCCCAGCAAAACTTTGCCCTGAGAAAAAACAATCTTATCCATTGGTATGTTTGTACCATCTCTAGAAACATAGAAGATTATTTTAAAAGTGCAGTCTGTGTTGGTTGAGGGGATTTATTACAATGTGGCACGTATATGTTCAGTGTAAAAGAAAAACATGTTTTATTCATTTTAATATGTCTCATGTGGGCTAATGCAACTGCTATTTTGCTCCCATGTAATAAAAGTCACTTTACTCCCCAAGATCTAAATAAGGTTGTTGAAGCAGTACTGTACTGTAGCACTTTCATGAAACTTTTGTTGAATTATTAAACAATTGAATCCAAGCTCGAGTGCATGAACTGTAAACAATTACTGGCTGGGTAGTTCAATTGTACTAGTTCTGTGGAAGTCCTTTTTCCTGTTTGCAGCTAAAAGTTAAAATGTCGACAGAAAGGTAGTCGAAAGTGAACTGTTCTGAAAAGTTGATGTACGTGAATATGGATATTGCTTTGGCCTTCATATGAAAAATGAACCTATGACATGTGAAGCTTTTTCGAGCGAAAAATAAACGTGTCACTCAGCTGAATGTTTACTAAATGTTTGCTAAACCAATTTCGCACAAGTTGTTGTCATTGTTTGTTACGGTATTGAAGCCTGTTACAACATGTGGTGTCCTGTGGTATTTATATAAAAGCAAATGTATGTGCTGTGACATTTGTATTCGAATAAATGATGTACATGTTGAATGTAATGTCCTCGTTGCTGTGTTCTTTCATTACATTTTGAAACGGAGAGCAGTTGATTCTACACCTTCAAATTTTAAGATTAAAATGTGAACCATCTGAATGATGCATCAGGCCTGCACAGTGACACACTTCAATCTATTTCAGTATGGGAAAACCAGTCACAAACATGTGATCGAGCCGAAGTGATGGACAGGAAGCAGATCGGTATATTATGAAACTGTTTCCACTCTCCTTTTAAAACTGCATGTCTTCCCAATGCTCCACATACAGTAACAGAGCACCTACTTCCATCCAATATATCCAAGGGAGGAGGACAGTGGAGATATATAGAGCCATAAAATGTCTTAATATTTTGCACTTACCCAGAGTGGACAGCATTTGTCATCTTTCTTTCAAAAACCTGATATGAATAGATTAGACTCATTTAAGAGCATATATCTATAACGGCATGCTGCTCTGTACTGACAAGAGTGGACATATTTTACAGAGTTCTTATTCTCGCGACTGGCTGTGAGGATTAATTGGTTTTTACAGTTAAAACAGTTAACTTTAGCCTCAGTCTATTAGCCTAACATGCATGTACAAGTCATGTCCAAATGAATGAGCCTTTTATAGGGCTCTCATTTAAAAACAAATCAGCTGGAAAATTTAAAGGTAAGCCAGTTAGCAGTGTTTTAAACAAACCTATTAAGCTAACATTAGCTTACATTTGCTAATTAGCTAGAGCAGATAAAACCTGCTGCCAAAAGTGGTAATTTCAGCCAACATATGTGGGTGACAACTACAAGCCATGGTGTGGCCTTATGAGCTACTTTAAACTTTGAGGAATCAGCTATAGACACACTTGTGATTAAAGGCTTTTCATGGACTCATTATTCATACCTTTTCTCTGCAGTCGAATTTCAGTTATGCAGAGACGTCTTCAGTGTAAATGCATGCAATTTTGCACACAAGAACTCTTCAATCACCCTCTAATCCTTTAAAACTCAAGTTTCCTCCCGCAGTGTCAGATTGCAATTTCAGTTTAAGTCGTGTCAAATGCTCCATGTCTTTCAGAGGTTTAGAATTGCACTGAGGGCAATTCACAGGGATGTGTTCAGACATAAGTTGGTGAGTTCTGCCATGTGCTCAAGGAGCTTCACAGATAATTTGAAATACTGAAAGAAAAAACTTCAGGAAATTATACTCCTATTTTGTCAACTGCTCAGGCTTTCAAATACAAGTCCATGCATGCTAAAATCTAGCATCGGATACGTAAGAACAGGATAAAAGGTAGGCTACCATGTTTTCTGAGCCACAGTTTTTTTTCAAAAAGTACCAGGGAGAAAACACTTTGGTCTGTTTTGGTGCAATATGACATTTTTCTCAGATATTTTAATCGTGGCAGTGATGAATATACATACAGGGTGTGAGCATGTGAAAACGTTGTTCCTGATAGTTCTATAAATCCCCTGGCACTTTGGTGAATACAGTGACCAAGGCACCAGAAGTCTGCAGTCCCCACGCTCCCAAGGGCCTCAGTAGCATGTGCGCGTGTGTCTGTGTGTGTATTTGATGTCAGCGTGCAAAGGCACATCTCAAAACATAGCTTGTGCACATCTGAAAAACAAGCTTCACCCGACCTGAGGTTATGAAAGCAAATATGAACTCAACAAAATGTGCTTCATTCTGTTTTTAAGGCCAAAGAAAACGCAATAGAACACAACTTCAAAAATATTTAACTTCTCAAACTTCAGATTCTACCAACATTGTTGCTACTAATGTCACTGAGTGCAATCATCCTGTTAATGTCCTCATTCATCAGATAATCAAAACACATTTGTTTCCTTTCTGCAACCATATAAGCTGAAAATATAAGATAATCATTTATTTGACAGTTGATTTATGCTCACATCTGTAAAAGTCAAACCTTGAAGACAGAGAGTCTTAATAGTGCAGTGTCAGCTACTTTCCCTGAGTCCCTTGACAAAATAATGGAGCTTTTAGCAATGAAATAAATAACATTTAAGAACATTTTTTTTCTTATAACGTGTAGTGCAAAACAAAGCAAAATACTAAGCAAAACAACAACAAAGCAAAATACCAAGCTGTCAAAAAGACGGATGAAACATTAGTGATGTAAAGGCAACATAGGAAGTAGGGGTCAAGGGTTAATTGCATAATGAATGATGTCTTTGGGAAAAACAAAGGTAGTAGCAAAACAGCCAATGTGTGTTTTTTCTTCTTCTTCTTTTTCTACTACTTCTTAAGGCTCAGTGTCATCAGGAAGTAAAAATAAATATATTCTACGTCATGCTAAAACTACACAGTAACGACATCTTTCTGAGCTTCTCTCCTTTTCCCTGTGAATTAATTTAATAAATAATACAGATACTGTATCTAACAGTTGCCATTTCGGCCATCTTGCTCTTGGTCAATGGCCTTTTTTTTTCAGGAAAGCATACATTGAATTTAGTCGTTTCATTTAATTTGTAACATTTTAAATGCTTGTTCTGGTGCCTTTAATCTCTTGCATCTTTTTTTTTTTCTCTCTTCCTTTTTCGTGTCTGCTACTTTACTGCTCACGTAAGATAATATCTATATGGTTGGTTATTCTAACAAAGATCAATTGAGGATAACGCTGCCCGGAGCACTTGTGAACAGATCTGCTCCTCTGAACCGACTGGCCACAAACTGAATACATCAGTGTATGGTTTCTATGATGAAGAATGCATGCTGGCTTTGGTTTACATGAGGTCAAGAACATGTTCTAACTGGGTGGTCTCACACAATAACTTAACCATTAGCAGGAAGTGTTGTACTTAATTTCAAGTGTCAGCTTCAGCATATTTAACATTTTACTATTATTTTTCCTTATCTTGCTGCTGATGGTATATCACTTTTGGTGTACATCTTAAAAAATAGACACATTGACACAGCCAAGGAGCATGTAGTTAAAATACCGATTGAAATGCCAGTCTTTTTCTTTTTTCTCCTCAAATATCTGACAAAAACAGCCATAATTTGCTTCCAAGTAATCAATTTGCCTCTGAGCCAGCTCTAGTATATTGTATTCTTAATGGTAAGCAATTACATTTGTTGATTGCTTTGTTAAGTATCAATTGTAGCACCTTTCTAAAGCCATAGTGCCTCCTGCATGCTGTAGATACAGCAAGTTATGCTAGGTGTTAATGTATGAACATGAGAAGTGTTGTATGGTATAGTGTTTTCTCACTGGCCGATGTGCGTAAATGGGTGGCCTTCATCTCCGGATGAAAGTTGCATTCAGGAAATGTTCCTCTGTAAAACTGGAAATCACACAGGTTTTAAATCATCCAGCAGAAACACAAACACAGGAAGGAATGATTGTCATATTATTGCAGTGTCCTAACAAGAGTGGAAATCCTCGTTTCGAGCTTTCGCAGCAGGGTTTGTCAGACCTCGTAACTGTGATTGCTTTTGATCCCTTTGACATCAGAATGATGTCCCACATCAGACCCTGATATGCTCCCAGAGTTGACTAAATTACAGACAAAGATTCTTGTCAGTGAGTAAATAGATGCCTAATAGGGTACTACGGATAATGACATGCCTGAGTACAGGAAACCATCAAGTGTGTATAAGTGGGTGTGTGTATGTGTTTGTGTGGTTTTATGGGCTTATGGTTAACGTCTAGCAAAGGAGTTGACAAGACTAAACTTTGAATCAACAAAGGAGCACTGCATGTGAAATGAAAGCTATGAATTGTATTTAAAACCGATCTTAGGCCAATTGTAAATACTTGGGATGGGTCGTGTGTTTCATTAGATCTGCTCTGTGTCATTTGCTGCTGCTTTGATTAACCCAGCTTCCCCAAATGTCTTTCTTTTTGGTGTCTATATACGCCGGGATCCGGAGTCATGGATGATCCTGCGGTCCTGTGTCCTGCATCGCGAGCCCTGGATCTTGAGTCGTGGCTGTAGTCCTGGATCATAGGTCCTGGATGGATATCCTCGTGGATTCATCTTCTTATTACAGACACATGCATTTCCAAACATTTGGACTACCTATGTTGCAAATGTATTATCTTTTCAATTTACACACGGCATCTATTGCACGTCTGTCCGTCCTGGGAGAGATCCCTCCTCTGTTGCTCTCCCTGAGGTTTCTCCCATTTTTCCCTTTAAACTGTGGGTTTTCTCCGGAAGTTTTTCCTTGTACGATGTGAGGGTCTAAGGACAGAGGGTGTCATATTGTCATACTGATATTCTGTACAAACTGTGAAGTCCACTGAGACAAATGTAACATTTGTGATATTGGGCTATATAAATAAACATTGATTGATTGATTTGTTGGGGAAATGGACACACTGAACTGTCAATTGTCTAAAAAAAGACTTATATTGTCTGAACAACTGTGTGAATCTTGCAAGTGTATTAAATATGGTTTTAAAAAAGGCTCAGTATGGTTGGCTGGGAAAGTCAATGTAACATGCACTGTATATGAAAAGAAAAGGACTAAATGTCATTGTGCAAACAAAGACAAAGAAAACTATGCTCAAACCAGAACAAGGGCAAGAAACTTGAAAGACCTGTTTTCATATTTAGGTCATGACCAGAGAGAGGAGACAGTTCCCTTCAACACGGACCCCCTCTAATGAAAATTTGTATGGACAGAAGTAATGTGTGCATGATAACCTATTCACCTGGACGTTTTTGAAACCTGATGTTTTTGGGTATCTGACAGGATTAACATTAACAACATGATCTCTGTTCCTTAAGAAAATGTTAAACATAAATATGGCAATAAAATCTATACAAAGTTTAAGAGTTTCTAAAGTTGTAATTTTTTTTCTTTTATTACAAATTGAGTAGATTTTTGTTAAGTCCTTTAATAAGCACAATGTGAAAGGAGTAAATGTCCAACAAACCTTAGCGAACATGACTTGGATGAAAGTGGACCAAAGTGTGCTCTATGTCTAGCGTTTCAGACTTTGAATTCTGTTTGGCTGGGTTACTAATTCTCAAAAAAGAAATCCTGGA